CATGACATGTTGGCTGGGCAAAAACTCATTGAAGAGGTGGGAGGAGAATGAGGGCCCTTGCATACTTTATTGTTTAAGATAACGGGAAGGATACTCATGCAGGGAGTGGGAGACCCAGTGCCCAGCCCCATCTTCCTGACAATCTCTCTCAGCAATCTGTTTCATGACTTCACCACCTGAGAGTTAGGAAGTATTTCCTCATTTCCAGCTTAAACGCCCCCTGTTGCAATGTAAGCCCGTTACTATACCTGCTATAATCACAGACAACTAGAGATCCTCTTTACAAGTAGCAACCCTTTTTGAAGATTTCTAGCACCGCCTCCATTTTCTCAGGATTACATAATCCAGGTCTTCCAACTTTTCCTGTCTAGGAAAATATTAGACCTTTCCTCGTTGTTGCTCTTCTCTGGACTCTTTCCAATTTATCTGTTTGTCATGAAGCATGATGCCTCGAATTGGCCACAGTTCTCCAGCTAAGGCCTCCCCGATGCTGAATATAATTTTAAAATGGTTCCCTTACTTTGTATACAACATGCGTATTAATACAGCCCTACATGCTTTTGTTCTTTTTCGGTTTTTGTAACAATATTACAGGGATGACTTCAGATTTAGCTTGTGCTCTACTCCTGTAACTACTATATTATTTGTTCATTAATTTAAGACCATTTAACAATGGGTCAAGGTCACTGAGAATCCTCAACCTATCTTCCAGGTCATCTGCTGTCCTACATCGCTTGGCATAATCTGCAGATTTCCTAAGTGTATGCTCAAGTCCTTGAGACCTCTAGGACACATTTTATGCAGACTGAGATAAGAAGTCATTAAACACAGGACCTTTTCCGTATTGAACAATTCTAATTCCCTTTCCCCAATCAGTAATGGACCTACACTTCCTTTGGTCCTTGACATCTAACGTCACAGGATGCTTGTGCGTCTCGTACTAGCTGTATTGCAGTGGCTTGGCCTGCCTGGATTTTCCTTTTATTGCCATCTGTAGTATTGTAGCTATGTTTCTACATTTTGAGAGATTCATTTTTAAGTTTCAAGTCACAAAAGCATTTGCGGTTTAGCCAAGCCAGCCCGTTGATGTGATTCTTAATCTTCCTTACACAGGGATGGCATATCCCAGTTCCCTTAATATTCCCTCGAAGGTACAACCAATTTCCCCAATTCCTTTTTCCTTTACACTTATTTTCCATGGGATCCTGGCCACCAGTTGTTTGAGGTTTTGCATGCCCATGCTAATCTTTACTATGTATTTGTACTCCTGTCACGCCAAAATCTGTACTTATGGTCAAAGCCCCTACTGGGGAAAGCACTGTATAAATACTGAGCATTACCCACAGAAGAGCTTCACCCTCACAGAGGGCTACTGGATTGTAGGCATTGCACTTGCAGTGTTTGGCAAGCCCTAAGCCTGCTGCGTATCTTCAGTGGCAGAAGGAGAGTCGACCATCAATCCCTGACTATTGCGAGGTCAAACTACCATCAAACACCAGAACAAGAGGCGGCGCCTACCTAGCCTCTTCAGAGGAGGCAGGAGGAGCAGACTCAGACCAGTTTTTGGATGTGTTTGTCAGTTCTGGTTTTTGTCTAAACATGGCAAAAGCACGGACGTGCATCCAGACAGCGCGCCCAGCAAGCCACAAGCAGGTGTCTCTGATTATAATTCTGATTTGAGTTCTGCTGCATTTGCACTATGCACAGGACTGGACAGGGGACGCGGGGGACAACTCCCATCTGGTCAGCAGCAGTGAAAGCTCTCCGAGCAAACATCCCTCCCACGAGCTCCCGGTCTAGCTGCTCTTGTCCCACATCATCCCTCAGTGTCAGGAGCTGCCTCTTAAACCGATGCTCCAAGCGCACATCATCTTCAATAATGAGCATCTTCCCCAGCTCTCTCTTCACCACCTGGAATACACATTATCCAGAAGGGATTGCTGGGGCCCATGCACTACTGAGAGTCCATCCCTGCACCTCCTGCAGTGTTGTAATGTGGGGAGCAGGACCAAGCCCTGAATTTGGCAGGCTGGATATGGCCCATGGCCCAAAAATTGAATCCGGCCCTTGTTGCTGCCCACCAGTGCCCAGCAGAAGGGTTACACAGGGAAAAGCTGGAAATCTCACCAGTGACGAGAGTATGGGACTGCTCTGGTGCACATGTATCCAGCCGGGCAGCAATTGGGAGTAACGGCAGCTTGGAAATCCCTTGTGACCTCCCATTGGGCATTCTCCATCACTGCCCGGGGGCCTGTTTTCAAGGCAATACTGAAGGTTGGAAGCCAGTAACCATCCTGGTTGTGTCAGGAGCGTTGTTCTGAGTGTGCGGAGCATCGTCTTGGGCAGTATCTGGTTGCTGTTGCTTTTGATAGACAGGTTGCTGGGGTCTGCGTGTTGTGGAAGGGTTTGTCCCCCAGATCCCGAAGGTGATGCAGAAAATGAATCTCAGATACGTGTTCGGTGGCGAACGCTCAGAAAGACTCATTGTCGTCAGACAGCACACCAGTTGCTCTAATTAACTATTAGTCCAACTTTGCAAAGCTTGCCCTTGGCAGGTAGAGACACCATATGTTATTCACTTTTTTCTACGTCTCTGCGAGGGACGTGTCCCTCCAAGTTTGTGCACCTGCACTCTCATGAGTAAGTTCTAACTCTTACCTTTGTTGCTGTTGTTTTCAGCTTCCCTTCAGTGTCTTTTTGATCATTAATGCAATTTTATCTTTTTTTTTGTTTCTTACTGGGTCCTCCAGTGGGCAGGAGGCCCCTTTCTCCCATACTGTTTTCAGTACTGTCGCTTACTATAGCTTAGCATAACTACAGCCTAGCCCCACTGGAATGCCTACAAGGAGCTTGGATTTGCCCCAAAACAGTATTTCCCAATCTAGTCCAGTCTATGCTGCAGGGAAACCTTTATAATAAATCCTGATGTGCCAAGGGATTTTATACCAATGACCCACCCACTGGTGCAGTGGGAAACGGCAGTAATTTAGGGAAACGACAGAGGGCAGGACTCTCCGTCCCCTCGCTGTTGGTGTTTTTCTGAGAGTCTTCTGAAAAGAAAAGAAGCGGAAGAGAAGACCAAGTGATACACAAGCAGCTAGGAGATGCCAGGCATTGGGTGCAATACCTCCATTTTCATTTATGAGAAACCCCCGTGGACAATCTGGATATTAGCAAGTGCAGTTTGGGGCAGGGCAAGGCAGAGTCACAAACAGAGGATAAGTAGCGTCTCTTTGCTAACATATAATTAACGAAGAGCAACCCTGTCTGAAGAGAGCTGGAAGGCAGATTAACCTTTTTGCTTGCTCAGACCTGCCAAAGTTTCAATGAAATGATTTTTTATGAGAAGTGATCAGGGCCCGTAGTACAGATAATATCTTTTATTAAACCATCAAGATTTTTGCAGAAAAATGTTCTTTAATTGCAAGCTTTCGGGCACAAACACCCTTCATCAGGCATTGGAGAAAAGAGTGTAAAAGTTCTCCTGGGTAGGAATGAAAGTTCATATATCATAGGATTTCACAGAGGAGTCCATAGATGGAAAACTCCTCTGGGCAGGCATCAATGCCTGATGAAGGGTGTTTGTGTCCAAAAGCCTCCATGAGAAATCTGTATTAACCCCCTTCCCCTCCCTCACTCAAACAGCAGAAGAAAGTGCAGCACAGGCTGCGAACCAGAGGGAAATTATGGAGGAATACAGTTTGGTGGTTTGATCCAGGCTCTTAGCAGCAAGGAAAGGGAGAGGTTCATCATAGATCTAGCGAGCTGGGGAAGGATGAAACTATGCAACGTGGCACAGATGCCCCAAGCTTGGCAGGCTGGGTTCCCGCACCGCATCCAGCCCCAGGCATTGACACAGTTGTACTTATTTGTGTGGCTGCAGCAGGTCTGTCAGACTGAACAAGCCCATCAGTGAGGTCACGAAGTCTTTTCTTCCCCCCGCCCCACTGCTGCCGTGGCTTCCCAGGGGAGGCTTGCCTTCCTCTGGCTTGTCAGAGCTCTGCCAGACCTGGGACAGGTGACTTGGCAGGATGGGCCAGTGCTCTGAGCGGGCACAGAGCCTCTTCTCGGGTGCCCGGCTGCTGGATCCCACTCTCATGTGCAGGGTCTGATGGACAGGTGATTTCCCCCGGTCAGTCTGACTGGGGCTGGCAGGGTTCCCCTGCCTGTGCAGCTTGGATATGGTTTGCTTTCTGGATCATCTGGGCATCTCTCACCTCATCCGTTCTCTGCCATTGCCAGGGCCACGGGTATCAGCGGTCCCTTGGTCTTTCCCATTCTTTCTCTCTGTGGCGCACAGGTTTGGTTTCCTGAAGACTGCAATCTTTGTCCTACCTAAATCCTTTGGGTTTGAGATATATGGCATTGGGATAAAACTTACTGGCCGGTGATAAAAAAGGCTGTCAGATGAATTGTGATTTATGGCCTTCATGTGTGAATAGCTGAGAAACTGATGAACAGCTTCTCGGAAGTGTTAGTAATGCTGCACCTCTAACTATTTCCTCATCCTGGGGCTCTTCAGGGTGCAGAGAACAGGCTGGACTGGCTGAGACAGCAAGATCTGTCCTTTGATTAATTCTGATTTCAGGTCTCCTCCTCTATCTCACACACTATGTTTGCATGCGGAGCAGCTCTGCACCAAGCACCGTGACAGGAGAGAAGCAGCAGGATATACAGGCTGCTTGCAGCGGGGAAGCCCAGTCCAAAACCCACTGTGAGACATCAGGAATCAGAGCTGCCTTTGCCACCTCGGGGCATGGATTTGAAAGTTGCCTCCATTTTCTTAGCTGTGTCGGCAGCAATAAATTTAATTCTAGTTGCTTTGTTGCTGGGTAGAGGATGGAGACCGGCCACCTGTGGTACCGGGTCTCAGCAGGCCCAGGAGACAGGACACCGTGCCCAGAATGACCAGAGCCTGGTGTTTGCTGATCTGACCCCAGGAGAAATGGTGCAAGTGGTGAGGTATCTGCGGGAAAACCTTGGGGTGCCACTGGTAGATGCCTCTCGTGCAAACCCCTCTGACAACTGCATTTACTACATCAGCTTGCAGCTCCCCACCAAGGCAGAGGTGCTGCGGTTCTTGGATCGAGGGGGAGTTCGCCCCTCGCGACAGGCACTGGCTGTGGTTTTCTTTGGAAATCAGCCCGAGCCAAACATCACAGAATATCTGGTGGGCCCCCTGCCGAAGCCAACCTATCACCGGGACATCACAGCGCTGAAGTACGGAGGGAAGCTGCCATATAACCGCAGACCGCTTCTAGGCACTGAATTTGGGCAGATCGATGCTTTTTTACGACGCGTAGAATACCCCAAAGCGCCAAGCTTCATGAGTCAGGTATTTGATTACGACGGGGCTAACCTGGCAACTCAAACTGTGGCCCCTCGAGGATTTGAGTCTGGAGATCGCAAGACCTGGGCTGTTCATTTCCAGAACGTGAGCGGCCTTTATGTGCACCCTGTGGGGCTGGAGGTGCTGATTGACCACGGCAGCCTGAATATCTCCCAGTGGAAGGTGCTGAAAGTCTTTTATAATGGGCAGTACTTTGAGGGGATGGTGCAGCTGGAGAGTGAGTTCAAGCAGGGCCACGTGAAGGTAGACAAAGTGAGAAAAGCCCCGCTGGATGGGGGATACTCTTCCCTGAAGCCTAGGGTGCCCCACCAGCACGTGGGGCCCTTGCAGTATGAGCCTCGCGGGCCCCGCTACAGCATCAGGAGCAACCAAGTTGTCTTCCAAGCCTGGAGCTTTGCCTTTGGGATGGATGTGAATACAGGGCCACGGCTGTTTGATATTAGATTTAGGGGACAGAGGATTGTCTATGAACTCAGCCTCCAGGAAGCCTCTGCAATTTACAGCTCCAATAATCCGGGGGGGATGACAATCAGATACCTGGATGCAAGCTACGGCATTGGAAGAGCTGCCTTCTCACTGGTCCCAGGGGTTGACTGCCCCTACTTAGCAACGTATTTGGATAGCTCCTACCTCACTGAATCCTTCGTGCCCCAGACGAACAAGAACTCCATCTGCATCTTTGAGGCAAATTTGGAAGTCCCTGTTAGACGCCATTATAATAACAGGCACACTAGGTACTACGGGGGGCTGGCCAGCTCAGTTCTGGTGTTCAGGACTATTTCAGCCGTTTCAAACTACGACTACATTTGGGACTTTATATTCCACTCAAGTGGAGCTGTGGAAGTCAAAGTCCAAGCCACTGGCTACATAAGCTCCTCCTTCTTCTTTGGCAACGGTACTCATTTCGGAAGTAGGGTTGAGGAGCACACCCTTGGGACCATGCATAGTCACGCTCTGAGTTTTAAGGTGGACCTAGATATTGGTGGTAAGTCCTTCTACCAATAAGATTTATTAGTTTGTAAACCACAGGTGAAATGCCAACCTTTTTCTTTTTTTTCTTTTGACATTTTCGATCATTTAACAGTAAATGCTAAGTACTTGAGTAGGGTGGTCACTACCTCAGGGTGTCTCACAACCCATTGGGCATGACTGTCATCACCGTTTCTTTATGCCGCATTGGCTCGTTCCTTTGTGGTGGTGCCGAGCCACGCCTAGGGACGTGAACTGGAGCTGGAGGCAAACCTCCCAGGTGGGTACCATCGTTTCTGTCTGGGAAATCCTTTCTCACTGATCTGTCTTTGTGTTTCCCCAGGCTCCTGCACCCCGTTTCTGCTGATTCAGCTCCTGGTCCTAGTTAAGACTTGTTTGCTGCAAGACCTTGAATTGACTGAAGCCTTGTAACATGCTCCTGTTCTCCAATCCTTGGCTCTTCCTGCCACTTTCTGGATCCCCTGCTCTGCTAGATACATATGCTTTAGCCTCAAAAGAGATGCGTTCTCATCTGGGGAGAAGTCATCCTTCTGCTGGGAGCTAGCACCAAGGCTACACACCCGTTCAGACCCACTTCACCATCTGCATGGCGATAAGTGTCCTAGACAATTGTGGATGACAAATTGCAAGCTCATACACATCCCTTTGCCCCTCAATCACAAATCACAGCTATGGACACAGGGCTGGGGAGAACTTAATAGGGCCCTGTAGCTATAGAAGCATAAATGTTGTATTTGGGATGTGTGTTGCTAGTCGGTGTCTGCTTGTCTCTGACTCTGGCGAACAAAGAACACAGCCTGCGCAAAGAAAGACGGCAGAGTTGGTGAGCATGAGGCTCAGAAAGGTTTACGGTCTAGACACAGTGCTTTCTCTCCCCTGAGTCCGTGCTTGCCTGCAGCAAGGCATGAGCCCAAACTCTATCCCCCATGCCGATATCAAGTTTCAAGTTTCCCGGTCCCTCTTCTCTACATGCCAGCTTACACTATGAAGCAAAGCAGGTTGACTGTGTATTACCTTCCCTTGTTGTCTGGAGCTTCCCTGTGCCGGTTGTGCATCCTGATCTACATGCTCCCATTCTTTCTTTATTATACAAGTACCACACCATCCTGTGCTTGATGCATCTGACTCCCTTTCCTGGCGGCACAACACCTCTTGTATCATTCTCTGTTATCTTGTACCAGCCTCTTATGTGCATATTCCAGCTTGAGCTTCTTTAAGCAGTTCGTGTCTCAGTCACTGCTGGTGAGGACTATGCTGGCCAATGCCTTAGCAAAGCATTTGTGTGAGTAGTATATGTGCTCCTTGATGCTTGCACTAACCTGTGCTGGCCCATGGTACTGTGCAGACAGCATGCTGTTCAGAGTCTGTGATGCAGAAAGGAGGAAGAAAATAAGCTGAAACTGGTTGAGCCTATGCAGTCTTGGAAGTGAGATACAAGGGCCCAAGAGGCAATTTCTCAGTGTTTTTGCCTTTGTCTTGTAGGCTCAAAAAATTCCCTGGTGACCCATGACATGGTGTTTGAGAACGTGCAGGCCCCTTGGAGTCCGGAGCACCAGATCGAGCGCCCACGGCTGGTCAAGCAAGTCCTGGACAGGGAGGACAAGGCTGCATTTCGCCTCAACTCAGAGATGCCCAGATACATCTATTTTGCTGCCAACAGTGAAAACAAGTGGGGCCATGAGCGAGGCTACAGGATCCAGATGATTAGCTTTCCTGGGGACCATCTGCCAGAAACAAGTACAATGGAGAGAGCCTTCAGCTGGGGGAGGTAGGTATCTTTTATCCATATGTTAATACCTAGGTCATGTCTATGCATAAGCCTGCTGTGGGTGTCTGAATGCCCCAGCAGCTGCATGGCTCAGGTCCACTAGAGTGGATACGGACTAGGGCTCTCACATGATAGAATTAAAGAGCATTAAATGTCCTGTTCATGATCACTGGTTGTTGGGCTGTTTGCCCACCCCTGGGATTTTGGAGCCAACTCTGGTTAAAACCTATTGAAATTCATTGCGTCGTTGGCATATCTCATCCTCTGCTCCCACACACTTCTTCCCACACACTTCTTGCTTCACTGCCACTTGCAGCATCCTCTGCTCTCCATGTCCCATCCCACACTATGGCCACAGCTTGGTCAGTGTATCTGAGCCATGCCCTGCCGTGTCCTCTGCAGTCCTGGTGCTAGTTCTGATCCTGTGGGAGCAAACGTGCAGCCTGTGCCGAGTCCCCTTGCTCTCATCCCACTGCTGTTCTGCTCCGGGTGTTCCCCTAACCAAATCCATCAGCCATGCTAATCTTTTAGGGCAAGTCGTGCTGTGCAGGTTCTGAATGTAGAAGTCAGAGATAGGAAAGCCCTGCGGCGTCTTCCTAGCACAGGTGCCTTCCTGCCCTAGCAAGTTAGCGCAGAGCTCCTGTAGTGTATTTCTTGTAGGGCAGCAGTTTTCAAACTCTGCAACAAAACGCTGGGCTTCTGTGGTAGGTCATCAGGGCTCCCACAGAGACTGGAGGTCATGGTGGGGCTGGCTGGCAGGTAGTGTGCAGCTATTGTTGGGCCGATGGGCTCCACATCAACCTTTAGGAGAGGGGGGGATCCCACAGCAGATGTGATATGAAATGGTTCTGTGGTTTTAGAAAGTTTGAAAATGGCTGCTGTAAGGTATTGTTACTGGCCTCAGTTTCCCCACATCACTTGGAGCTCTTTGGCAGCCCATTGAGGTCTGTTCAGACACATTGGCCACCCTGCCACTCACCTCCCTCCCTCTCATCTGCTGCCACTTTGGTTGTTATTGGGAGCATTGGGAGGCTGCCTTCCAATAACGGGGGCGAGGCTCCACTTGGCACAGTGCTCTGGGCTGCCTGCATCCCTGCACTGTCCTCTGGGCTCTAGCAGCCAGCTTGCTGCTCACTGGGCCTCTGGGGGCCCTCCAGGTCACTAATGTAATCCAAGGGACATCTTCAGTGGCCTCCTTCCAGCCCTTCAGGCCTCCCAACTATGAACATCCCACATAAACAGCACTCAGTCTTACGTAGACAGACACAGCTTCCCACCTCGCCCTCGCCCTCTCCTTGCTCCTTCTCTCCAGGGGATCTGGGCTAGACCGAGGTTCCCTGCTGCTGCCACCCATCTCTCTTGCTAACGGGCTCCCAGCTTTCTCTCTTGCCTCCCTGCAAGCTGCATCCCGTAACCTGCCCCTGTAGCGCTGCACTTACTCCCTTGCAGTAACAGGGGTTAGGGGCCCCCTGCCAGAGGTATTTAGCCCAGCCTAATTGCAGACATCAGGGGCAATGCTGTTTCCATCCCTTCCCTTGAAGAACCTATTGCATGGCTCCACATGAGCCCACAGCAGAGCACACCAGCTGGACCCTGAGCTATTCTACCCACAGCCCCTCAAACATCATTGCCTTTAGTATTGGGAGAGACGCGAGGGATACAAATGGAAGAGCATCCCTTTTTTGTTTGCTAGTGGGAGGTCTTTTAGAGACTGTGTCCCAGACTCACATTTTGGCACTTATGACGAGCATGACCCGATGGACTATCATGGCCATACCACAGCCCTTCGCATCCTGGAGCAGGTGGCAGCCTCGTGTCCTGCGCGGCTGTTGGATTGGGCAAATCCTGCAAGACAGGCATGTTTCTTTCTCTTGATCTTTAGGTACAAACTGGCTGTCACTAAACGGAAAGAAGAGGAGCCAACCAGCAGTAGCATCTACAACCAGAATGACCCCTGGACACCCACCGTGGCCTTCGCTGACTTCATCAATAATGAAACCATCGTAAACGAGGTAAATAGGCCTCTCTCTCTGCTCTGGAGCTATGTATTGCAGCGGGCTGAGTCTTATCATTGGCATGAACCAGATGGGGTGCAGGATGCATAGCTGCAAACCTGGCTCATGGGCTGGCGGATCAGTTGCTAACAGGGCTAATGGTTCTTTGTGACAGTCATCTCATCTTGGAGAACGAAAAAGTAACTCTGTGCTTCCGTACTCCTGACCCAGCCCTTCACTGTGGTGGCTGGTGTTCATGACGGGTTGCGTATGGGGTAGGGCAGAGCTCATTGGGACAACCCAACATTTCATCCAAGGGAAAAGTTTAAGGGAAATCCTAGGTTAGCGGATTCCACTGTCTGAGCCAGGCTCGTTGGGCAGGCTCAGGCTATCACTTCACAGCAGCTTTGCCTGGTCTTTCCTCGTGTGCTTCGAACCAGATGTTTTCCAATAATAAGCAAATTGCTTGACTCTATTTCCTTCCCCAGGACCTGGTTGCATGGATAACAACTGGTTTCCTTCATATCCCACATGCTGAGGACATACCCAACACTGTGACAGTTGGGAATACAGTCGGGTTTTTTCTGAGACCCTACAACTATTACGACGAAGACCCCTCCATATTCTCACCTGATAGTGTCTTTTTTACGAGCAAGCAGGACTCCAGGTCATGTGAAGTCAACCCCATAGCGTGCCTGTCCAAAGTTGCCTCCTGTTTACCAAATATTCCTCCATTTACCTACAATGGCTTCCAAAATCCGACAAGACTCTGGGGTGTAAGACGCTGATGGAGTAAAGAAATGAATCAGAGGTACCAGAATGGTGGCTTTGTTCAACAGCTCTGGTTTCATATGGAAAAGCTGTCTTGGAATCCATTTGGTCAATGACTTCACATGGCTTTTTATCTTGTCACTTTGCTATTATCGTTGCTTAAACAAATATCTTTAAAGGAAAACATAGCTTCCTCAGTGTGCCGCCAGATAGGAATTTGTATTATCTTCTGTGTATAAGCTTGCCGAAATCTCGGACCGTATTTTCTTGCAAAGGATAAACCCTTTTTTTCCAGCTGCTGGAAGTTGGGGAATTGGAGAAGCAGTAATTGCAGTTCTGCCGAAGCAGAAGTAATGCTGCAGCGCTGCACACAGGGCTCCCGAGCTGCTGGCTGGGGACACTACTGTACAAGCTGCCCCAGTTACTATTCAGCATTTTCCAGGAAAGATCTTTTCTTCTTCATTCTGTCTTTAAAATACAAGGTGCGTGTCTTGTTGGGGGTTGTGTTGTGTGTGTACAATGTGTTGAGAGGGGCTGGAGATGGAGAGAGAACATCATTCCTCTAATCCTGCAATAAACACAGTGTATAACTAACTGTGGTTCAACTAATTAAATCTGGTCCTGATCCAAATGTTTGCTGAAGTGCCTTATTCCTAAACCAGTGCAGATGTGTGTTACCGCCTGCCACCAGGGAGGCTGGTGGGCCACAGGGGCTCAGCAGCGTTTCCTGTGCTGACACCTGATTCTTAAAAATGTGCCCTAACCCAGGGGTCAGCAACCCCCTGCTCGCATGCCACAGCATGGCCTGTGAAGCCATTTTGCTCAGCATGCCGCAACTGGTGTGGGCATTGGGTAGGCGCCTGCCGCCCACCATGAAGCCTGGGCTGCTCACAGCAAATGGCAGAGAGGCTGCAAGCCCTGCTACAAGCAGTCCAGGCTCTTTGGCAAGTGGCAGGGCCCTGCCCAGAGCCCAGGGTGGCTGTGGGAGGTTGCAAGTGGCTGCACTGGGGTCCAGACCCGAACCCAGCTTGTTGCTGGTGGTGGCTGCATGCATATCTCAGGGGGCAGTGCCTGGGAAGGCAGCAGGGCAGGTGGGGAGGAGGGAGGAGCAACGAGGGAGAGTGGGGACAAGTTGTACTTCTCAAAGCCCTCTGCTCCTGCCTGACACTTCCTCCAAGCACTGGGCAAATATCAGCTAACTGTTTTGGGAAACGGGGGAGCCAGAACGTTTGTTTGCACGGGCACCTGTAGGACAAAGGAGTTTTAATGAGATATGCCACAATAAGCCACTTGCAGAACAGAGAACCAGGGAGCCCCCTCTTATCCTCAGCTTTAACCATTACATGTGCTGCTTTTCACCAGGTAGCTAATAACAGAAGTGGGGAAAGGGTCACAGGGATAGAGCCCGGCTCCAGGCAGGTATTTTTAATCACCCCTTTCTAACTCACTGGTTACATTATAGTGTGGCTATAGTGTTGTAGCTATGAGAGTCCAGAAAATGTGAGAAACAGGGTTTCTTTGATCTTTTTTATTGGACCAACTGTATAGTTGGAAGAGATGTCAGGTGAGCTCAAAGCACTCTTCCTCAGATCGGACTTCCCAGGGGGCACTGGTTATACTGGCAGTTTTGAAACTGGAATTTTTCTCCCCGGTGTCTCTTCCCTCAAGGCTGCAGATGCCCAGGCCGTGTGCAGGCTTTCAGTTTCTCCTACTGGAGAATTGCCACTAGAAACCAGGAGGTGCACATCTCCCAGCTTTTTTCTCCCAGAGCAAGAATGGCCATTCTGGGAGGAAATAACCCCACTACAACCAGGTAGAAATAGCTCCTGGGAGAGTTTCCCCAGGAGAATGAACATCTGTTTGCTTCCCTTTAGCTTAGCTCCTGCTGGGGCCCAGGAGCTGTGGAGCCATGGGAAAAAGCTCCACAACTCTGGAAACTGGGGTCACCCCTGTCTGGAGAAGGCACAGGGCCAGCTGCTCCCACTCCTCCACCAAGCAGTTGGGACTCTGTTAGTAACCCATATGCTAGTACTGCAGCAGGGGGTAGATGGTGGGGGGAAGCCCTGGAGAGGTGGCATCTCTCCTGGAGTCCCTTGATACTATAGTGATGCAGGTAGTAGAAATGAGTAGACCATATCAGAGGACTTCAGGAAGCTTAGGATCAGGCTCAGAGAGGGTTTGATCTTCCTAAATGATCAGTTCTTCAATTCTTGCTGAAAGGAAAAACACATGCGTAGTTGAGACTGATAGCTGCACTTAACCAGCATTACATGGTGGATGGCTTGATTCGTTTTCTGTGTTCTTGTGTCACAGAACGAATGATGCATCATCCCTAGCTCAAGATCTATAAGGTTCAGGTGGTGACTCTCTGGGCAGTACTACAGGGGTGGTCTTGATGCCCAGGGAAAGGCTGTGTTTCACAGGGTAATATGTAAGTCAGTGATTCTCAACCCAGGTGCCAGGAGATACTTTCTAGGGAGCCGTGGGGTGCCAGGCAATGTTAGCACTGTTAGATATGGAAACATGTTTCACAAGATACCAGAGATTTTAAACAGAAATCCAGAGTGAGCTCAGTTCTTTGCACTAGCAAAATTGCTCTGTTATCTTTCTGTAGTCAGAAAAAACCCAAGTGCAAACTAAGAGCTGGCATTTTCCAATGGGAGCCACAAGTCGAGGAAGGCTGAGAACCGTTGGCTTAAGCCATCTGTGTTAGTGCATGCACTGTGCAGGGTGTATGCCAATGCCAACAATGCTCATTCTGTCTTTCAAGGCCTCTGCGCTCTTAGGTGCTGGTCTCCATATTTACACCCGGTATGACTCCATTGCCTACAGTTGCTCATAAACTGTCTGCTTAAGTGAGAGAATCAGCACTTTCTTGTTATAGCATGTTTTACCGCAATGAATAATAGGTGACGAATGCTTTGCATTTGAAAGCCTGTCCAAGTCTATCTCAGCCATGCAGTCAATAAAAGGTATTGCCCAAAACAATCCTTTTTTTGCAAAAAATGTTTTCCCCCCATTTCTTCCCACCCAACAGCCTTCTCTTCTCAGCCCTGTATAGTTTGGGTCTCTATGCAAATACTTCTACCCAAAACAGGTGGTGGGATCTTGGAGTCCTGTGGGTTAGGGCAAGGGTCTGATCTAGGGCTGTGGTATTCTTGGCTTTGCCACTGATTCACTTTGTGTCCTTAGGTGAGTCTCTTAACCTCTCCCTGCCTTCCTGTCCCTGTCTGTGGAAGACCAGTACAGCTGCTGTTTCACTGGGGTGAGCTCAGACTTGCTTTATTAATGAATAAAAAGTGCTTCGAATTAATGGGTTGCCTTTTGTAGATTGAGTTCAAAAGATTAAAACCGGCTGAGCGACAGACCTGAATGTCAGGTGTGTTTGAAACCGTAGAGTTCAGTCAGAGGACCGCCAACGTTGCTCACAGATCCCGCGCATAGCATAGAGCGGTGGGCGAGTCCTGCGGGTATCCTGGACTCCCACAGGACTCCTCCAGAACTAAGAACTAGGCGATGACTGTCTCGAGACAAACTCTGATTTCTCTGCCCTGCAGCACACAGAGGCCGACTTCAAGGTTTGATTGAAGGCTCCACCGCAGTTTGAAGAACTGATGGTGCAACGGTACTGAGCCGGCGTCCAGATGAGCACGCCCAGCCCACTTCAATATCTTCTCCATGAAGGTAATGGTTCCCTCCCTTGGCTCCTTGTACCCTTCAGAGATGACTCTGCCAATATTCATATGGATATGTTTGCTGCTTGGAGACAGTTTTCAACTGTGCCTTTAAGGATCATAAATAAGAGCTAAATGCCTGTGTTGTGTACGTGCCCAGCTTGTACTTCCTCCTAGGGCAGGGGTGGGCAAATCTGGCCCGTGGGCCGGATCTGGCCTGCCAGGGGATCCCACCCGGCTTGTGGCAGGTCGCTCAGTGCCACCCGGCCCAGGCACAGCAGGGCAGGCTGGGCTGCGGCACCGGCCCGGGCATGCAGCGGGGCTGAGGCAGCACAGCTGCCAGACTCTGCTTTCCTGCAGCTCCTGGTAGTGGCAACTCCTTCCAGCTGCCATCACCACCACACCCGCCCCTGCTGACTGTGCACCCCAGCCCGTCCGCTCCACATCCACCACCAGGGACTCCTGATGGAGCTGGTGGACAGGGTCTCTATGGACACTGGCTCGGCACCTGCGCGGTGCTGAGGCCCGGGAAAGAGCAATGATCCATTCCCTGCACGCCCCTGCAAAGGGCGCCGGTTCCTCAAACAGTGGCTCTTATCATAATTCAGAGTCTGCATCCGGTCCAGCTCTGGCTGTGGCAGAGCAGAGCGGCGCGGGGAGCAGCCCTCGCTTCTCAGGCTCCCAGCAGCGGCCGGTGGTCCAGATAGGATCTGTTGGTGAGTCAGACACTGTCCATGGGCCGTATTTTGCCCACCCATGATCTAAAGCCCTGCTAAAGTCAAGGTATATCATCCATTGCTCTCCTCCTGTCCAAAAAGCCTGTCCTCTTAGATCATCTCATTCTCCTTTAGATGCTTTGAAATAGATTGCCTGAGGACCTGCTCTGTAATCTTTCAAGGTCAGACTGACTGGTCTGTAATGCACCAGATCCTCCTCTTCCCCTGTCTTAAAGCTGGGCACTATATTGACCCTTTTCCAAGCATCCAGGACTTCACCTGGCCTCCAGGAGCTTTCAAAGAGGACTGCCAAAGGCTCCGAAAGTACTTCAGCCAATTCCTCCCGTACCCATGGGTTCATCCCATCTGGCTCTGCCGACTCGAAAACATTTCGCTTCTTTAATCCCTAGCCTGTTCTGCCACTGCTCTAGGCTACTCTTTGACTCCTATCTTTGCTGCCAAACGTGCTTCTCATCTGGAAGCTGCCCCTCTCTGTGAAGACTGAAATAAAAATACGGCCTTCTCTGCATCGTCCGGAACTAGGTTGCTTTGTGCATTCTGTAAGAGACCTGTGGTTTCTTTGATCTTCCTCTTGCAGAACACGTGTAGAATCTCTTTTTTTTTATTGCCTTCTGTGTCCTTGCCAGCTGCATTGCAAGTTGTGACTTGGCCTTCCGAATGTTCTCCCTGCGCACCCGTGGGATACCCTCATACACTTCCCTAGTAACATGATCAAGTTTTCATTTCTCGGAAGATGTGTTTTTGAGTATCAGCTCACTGAAGAGATTGCTATCTAGACAGGCGGGTCTCTTGTTGCACATCCTACTCTTCCATTGCACTGGGATAGCTGCTCCTGTGCCCTTGAAATGGCCTCCTTACAGGACAGCCAGCTCTCCTGAACTCCTTTTTCCCCCAGATGTGCCTTCCAGGGGAGCCTGTGCACCAGCTCTCTGAACTTCTTGAAGTCTGCTTTTCTGAAAATCACTGCCTTTATTCTGCTGCTCTCCTTCCTTCCTCCTTTCAAGATCTCGAACTCTCATTTTGTGGTCACTGTCACCCAAGTTACCTTCCACCTCCTCAACCCATTTCTCTCTATCGGTGAGCAGAAAGTCCAGAATTGCTTCCCCCCTGCTTGTTTTCTCTACCATCTCTAGCAAAAGTTTTCCCCAACACACTCCAAGAATCCACGGGACCGCTTGTGCGCTGCTGCTTCTCTCCTACCAGGTGTC